AGATGAAAGGGGTATATAAATATTTATTATAAAAAAATAATAATATTGATCCATACATTTTTCCAAAAGTTATATAAAATATAAATTAAATAATATAACATATAAAATCGAGATTTTTTTCACGGAAATCGTACGTTTTTCTTTAACTTTGATGTCCGTTTTCACCACGAAGACAAGTCCAGAGGTCAAATTTTTTTTTTCCATAATAAAGTACATTACATACATACAAATCTTTAATATAAGATACATAAAAAAGTGTCAGACCTTCCGGAACACTTTAAAAAGTTAAGTTGAAAAAGTTGTCATTTTAGATCGCCCCTGGGGGCAGGTTAAGTGTTAGATTTACAAAAATTATATGCTAAATGATAGGTAAAGACATCAAGCATCTATAAAAAAAAAAATTTAGTGATCCATACATTTTTCGAAAAGTTATAGCATTATTAAGTTAAAAATATAAAAAAAAATTATATTACAAAAATCGTAATTTTTTATTAACTTTGATATCTATTTTTACCACGAAGACAAGTCCAGAGGTCAAATTTTTTTTTTTCAAATTAAAGTATAATACATAAGCTTCAATTTAAGATATATATAAAAGTGTCAGACCTTCCGAAACACTTTCAAAAGTTAAGTTGAAAAAGTTAATTTTTTGTGAAAAAGTTGTCATTTTAGATCCCCCCTGGGGGCAGGTTAAGTGTCAGATTTACAAAAATTATATGCGAAATGATAGGTAAAGACATCAAGCATCTATAAAAAAAAAAATTATATTGATATTTTTAATTTTGAAAAAGTTATGGCAGTTTTTAGTAAAAAAAAATTGAAAAAATTTCGAAAATTAGGGATTTTAAATTTGTAATTTTTTTGGAGGTTCCCCCATTTATGGGGAACGAGGAAATATTTTTCAATTTTTAAGGGTAATGTCTTCGACTAGATATGATTTGTGATCTTTTAACGAAACGTTAAAAGAAACCGTTCGGTGAGAGCTGAGTAAAAGTTGTAACAGACACAAAAAATAAAAAATAATAAAAAAACACATCATAGTAAAACCAATACCTTCTTAGCTTTGCATCGAAGCTAATAAGGGTTCCCATTTAAGAAAATTATAAATAAGGGATTTTATCTATGAAGGGACAAAAAAAATAATGGTTTGACTACATATTACTGTGGAGTTTTTTGAACTTGATATTTGTTCTCTATCATAAAATTTAAAATTCTCAATACTTTCTAAAAAATGAGTGTCTTTCCAGATTTTAATCACTCTGTATATATATATAAAAGTGTCAGTATTACCGGATCACTTAAAAAAATTAATTTGAAAAAGTTCTACTTTATGTATGCACTTTTAAGTTTTGAATCTACTCTGTATGTAGTTATATGGTCTGATTTAAAAAAAAAGTATGTCGAATAAAAGAGGTTTATAAATAGTATATATCATAAAAAAATTGTATTTATCTATACATTTTTCGAAAGGCTATAGAAATATTTAAACATATGTTAAATTAAAGATTTTGTTACTGACTATGTTAAAATATGGTAAAATATTAAAATAAATAATATTATAACAATTTTTAGCACTTAAGAGTAGTTAAGAAGACACTATATAATGTATATATTTTTAATCAATAACTATTTTATTAATACAATTCACTAGTAGCATATATGTAAATAAAATAAAATTATACAAAAAAAAATAACTACAAATAGATACAAATATATTTTATGATCGATTTTATTGACTTTGTTAAAAACGTATTCAAAATAAGAAGATAAATTAAAAATAATTAGGAGTTTTAATTTATATAAAGTTTTTAAATTTTCAAAGTTATTTTTACTCTACTTATTTAAAGTACTTTTTGTTCCCCATAGTCTTAAATTATGATTCAAGTTGTTATTTTATTATTATTTTCCACTTGCCAAATCACTTTACAAATTAATGTATCGCAATTTGCACTAGGAATAATGAGGAACCCGGGTTGGAAGTCATTACAAAAAATAAAAATAATTAAAGATGGAAAATCTTTTTCATGTGATGACATGAATTCAAATGATGTAAAATTGTTGGATAAATACGTAAGTTCAATGATTATGTGTAAGTACGCTCATAATTTGCTTGATATAGCTACTTATATTGAATATATGGCAACTCAGTTTAAAGTATTGGATAGAAGAGGTGAGAAACTTGTTTACATAGAATTTTTGCATGAGTTTATAATAGAAATGGGACACAAAACAGATTACATGTTACGTGTAATATGTTTCATGGATTCTATGAAAATAGTAGATAATTCATTTCTTAATGAGCTTTTAAAAACATTGTGGATAAATACAAACGAAAAGATAATAAAACCATATATCGATGCATTAGTATCTACTATTGAATGTGAAAAACCTGTGGATTCCGCTGTTAATGATTTAATTAGACCTTTTAAGGAACTTAAAGAAAAAATAAATGATGATATAATGGGGGAGAAAAATTTTTGTGTTAAAGGACAACCGTCCATACCGAGTTGGAATGATTTAAATAACTCGTATTTGAAGGAGACTGGAATAAATAAATATTGGGGTTCGTTTTTGGATTATATTAATCTTAGGTATAGATTATGGATTTCATACTCTGATTTTGAAAGTTTTCATGAACTAGGGTTTGTTAGGTTCGGTCCTTCTATCATATTGCGCACAAAATAATAAGAACCGGAGTGAATTTTGTTTACTATTTAGATTTCTTAATAGATAATTTACTAATATTTTAGTATAAATATTTTCTTTTCTTTTTGCTTTAACAGGATTACAGTATTTATACGTGTTATTTTAATTACTATTATATGTGTCTATGTTATTTGTGTTTAGTTTATTGTTTTAATCTGTTTATATTTATATTTTAATTGTTAAATAAACTACAATTACTTTTTAAAAATCTCATTAAATGCACAATAATATGTTAAATTGTTTAGTCTTTATTTAATTAATGTTTCCCATTTAATAAAATAATTTATTTGATATAACTAGTATTTATTACTTGTAAAAAAAAAATCGTATCATATTTAAGACACGACCAAGTTTATAGTTTATTACTTAAAATATGGTAATATTAGATTGTATATAAAATTAGTAAAGTCAATATCTTAGTTTTCGCTAGTGAATAATAATAATTTAAAAACTCGATAGTTTATATTTCAGGGTATTTGTAATTAGTTAATACGTTAACGTAATGAATATAAATAGATCATCTATTTTATTTCATAAACAAACAATATATATATATTAACTATATATAGTTTATACATTAAAAGATTAACAAAATTGTACGGTGCTATAAGTCAAATATTAAATTTTTTTTAAGGCGACAGGATACCGACATCTTTTTAGTCAAAACAACCAGTTTTTGTTCCATCAGTATGACGAAACTATTGATGTGATAAGAATTCTGAGAACAAATCTGAATTCAGCATCATGTCACTTAAGTATCAGTCAGGCTACTTTTTTTAAAATTTGATATTTTTAATCCTTAAGTACAGTTTACATTTTTGAAAATTTAATTTTGTACAAAATTAATTTTTGCGTTAAAGAAATCACAATTTTAAAAAAGTGGCCTGACCGATATAATGCTGAATTCAGATCTGTTTCAGAATTCTTATCGCATCAGTAGTTTCGGTGTACTGGTGGAACAAAAATGAGTAGTTTTTTACGTTCTAACTAATAGTTTTCAAACATTATTTGTTATATCTGACATTTTAATAACGCGCGATGTGCGTTATCCACAGCAGCTAATTTATTGCCAATAGAGTTGCGTAAGGAAATATCGACAGCCTAAAAATAATTACACATTAATACACACTTGATATTACACTTGTATATATGATATTTGAATATTTGCTTATATCTAATGACCAACTAAGCTATTATTGCTCAGTACTATACAAATGTTGTCATTATCCAATACTTAAGTTTCGCTAAAAAAATGGGGAATCGTAAAACAATACAGCTGTATAAAAAAAAAAAGAATAAAGGTTATGTATTAACATTAAAAAAGTGGCGTCAAAATAAATATCTGGTACGTGCATATAAAAATAATTTTCATACTTTTTCTTGGCTTCAACAGAAAACTGAGAAGGTATTAGTTTTACTATTATAAGTGTTTTGTTTGTGTCTATCCATATCTGTACCTACTGGGCTGTTATTGTTCAGCAATACACCAAAAGATAAAAAAAATTATCTTGTTGATGTATTCAGCATTATATTTTAATAAATTCCCTTTTTTAAACCTCAATTAAGAAATAAACTACAATACTCCCAATAATGGACACTCTAAATAATGGACACTCCTTCTAATAATCATTTATTTCTCAGGCAACGACACCGCTTAAAATGAAATTATCGCAAAATTGCCTACATCTAACCCCTGAAAAAGGTCAGAACTCAGACGCCTTAAATACTCTTCATTAAAATTACGCTTTTGTATTACTGAAGCAATCAGAGACTGCTTATCTTATGAGAATACATTGTATTCTATCTTTATTTTAAAAAAGTATTGTTAAGATTAATACGCAGTCAGGAAATTGTATTATTACTATTTACTGTTAATTTATCAGATGCTCAAAATTTTTTTTTCCTTTTTTATTGTAATAAATTACATAAATAGAAATTATAGTCATTATTTCTAATTTTTGGTGATTAAAAATATTTTACAGTTGAAACATTCCAAACATAATTAATTTTAATGATTTACTTTAACTAAAAAAACCAATCAAAATGTTGTTAAAAAAAAAAAAACGGTAGCACAGTAGGGTCGCGGCACAGTATGGAAGTGGCATAGTTGGGACAAGTATAAATGATTAAAATCACTATCATAAGATATGCTTCGTTGCAAATCTGTATACAGTGTTTAATTTTAAGAAATTGGTAGATTATTTCAAAAACAACAATAATTCTTATCCCCTTATATCATCATTATATATATAATTTCAAGATTTTTTTACAAAAATAGCATATTTTTGCATACGATAGTCATTTTCACCATGAATACAAGTCCAGAGGTCTAATTTTTTTTTTTCAAATTAAAGTATATTACATAAGTTATTATGTAATATATATTTTGTAAAAAAATTATCATTTTGAAATCCTTCCTGTGGTCAGGTAAAGGATCAAATATTCGTAAAAATATATCAAATGATAGATGTATACCTAAGGTATATAAAAAAAAATATATATAATCATTCGGTTATTTTTAAAAAATGTATGGCAATTTTAAGTAAAAAAATAGAAAAATGTCGAAAATTAGCGATTTTTAAATTTTTAATTTTTTGGGGGATTTCCTCAATTTACGAACGAGGGATTTTTTTTCAATTTTTGAGGGTTATGTCTAGATACGATTTGTGATCTTTTGACGTATTGTTCATCAAAATCGGTCCATCGAGAACTGAGATAGAGCGTTCACAGACACAAAGACATATTTTTTAGCTACGATGCGAAGCTGAGAAGGTATTGGTTTTACTAAGATGTGTTTTTTTTTTTTTTTGTGTCTGTTACCACTTTTTCTCAGCTCTCGCCGAACCGATTTCTTTCAATGATACGTCAAAAGATTACAAATCGTATCTAGTCGAAGACATTACCCTTAAAAATTGAAAAAATTTCCCTCGTTCCCTGTAAATGGGGAAAACCTTCGAAAAAATTACAAATTTAAAAATCGCTAATTTTCGAAATTTTTTCAATTTTTTTACTAAAAACTGCCGTAACTTTTTTAAAAATGAACATATCAATATAATTCTTTTTTTTGTAGATGCATGATGTCTTTACCTATCATTTGGTATATTTTTTTTATAAATCTGACTTTTTACCTGCCTACAGGGGGGGATTCAAAATGACAACTTTTTCACAAAAAATTGACTTTTTCAACTTAAATTTTGAAAGTGTTCCGGAAAGTCTGACACTTTTATATATATATTAAATTAAAGCTAATGTAATCTACTTTATTATGTAAAAAAAAAATTTCGGACTTTATTTTGTCTTCACGGTGAAAATGGCTACCAAATGCTATTATTGTGTGAAAATTCTCAATTTTATTTTTTACATTTTTAACTTTATAATGCTATAACTTATTGAAAAGTGTATTGATCAATATAATTTTTTTATGGGAAATACTATTTTTTAATAATCCCTTTTTCATTCGACATACTTTATCTTAATCAGGATATTAATAAGGAACTAGCAGTTTATGAAGCTTTTGGAATAATCCACCAATTTTTTAAAATTAAACACTATCTAAAGATTTGCATCGAAGCGTTTTTTTTTTATAGTGATTTTAATCACTGTCAGATATCATTATACTTGATCCAACTATGCCACGTCACCACTGTGCCGCGACCCCCCTGTGCTGTTTTTTTTTTTTACTATAAATTTACTTATAAAAATTGTTTACCATTAAGTCACTTTTTATGTCCATAATTTGACTTCACAATAAATAATTTTTCAAATGAATATTAGGTCAAAATTCGTCTATCTATAGCACTCTTAATATTCTTCATGTTAATGACATATAAAATAATATTCAGGGGTTCTTAACAGTAGCCCATTTACTCAATTCAAAGCCAGCTTTACCCAAAACGATAATTAGATCGTCGCGCAGTTAACTTACTTCTTTTTTCGTGTTCGCTCCTCTCAAATAAACATCAACATAAAAATCTTTATCGATTGACAGGCTTCTCTTCAGTGGCCAGCTTCTCCAAACAATCCCCCGCCAAGTACGTAGAGGTTATCACTCCATAGTCTTGAGGCAGAGAATATTAATAGGGTGGCTAGTTTCTTCTCCCCATAATATTCTTTGATAGTCATGTTGTGATTCCGATACCCACACTTGCCGGTACATTTTTTTTATGTCCGTCGTCAGGACATATCTATGAGTACGGAATCTTGCCATTATAGTATTATAACTAACTCTTCCTGAATACAAGGATCTTTCAGGAGTACCTCGTTTAAACTCATCTCTGTGTCTGTTTTCGCAGATGCGTCGAACACCACTCGTAACTGTGTACTCGTACTGTGCTTATTTATAACCGCATGGTGAAGCATTTAATAACAATGCTCTTTTTCTTTCGACGATCAGCCTTTTCTGCATGTCCTAGCATGATATATTCGTCAATACATTTTTTGTATGACACTTTAAGCTGAGGGTCA